GCAGCATGACAGCAGCTGTGGTGAGAGGCGGGAGCGGCTCCTGCAGGGAGCCCACCTCGGAGCCATGGGTTCTGGTCGCTGTCACCCCAGGAAGCAGCTCCGGGCCGGCTCCCAGCTGTCGGTCGCACTGTGCATTCCGGAGCCCCATGCCGCGGCTCCCCCAGGGCCCAGCAGGTCAGGAGCACACATGCCCTGATCACAAGTGTCCTAAGCGGCACACATGTGACACATATCAACATGGCACATGCATCACAAGTGCCATGCATGTGACACATGGCACAGGTGACGCGCATCACATGGACTGTGGCCTGCGCTGGTGGCAGAGCTTGGATCCCTGGGAACCCAGTGGTCAGGCCCGGTCCCGCCAGGCCGGCCACAGAGCTCCGGGAAAGCCCAGACGTGGGGTAACCCCGTGGGCAGAGGCCCTGGGGTGAGTGTCCCAGTGATGACCCAGCGAATGGCCAGGAGCCCGGGTGGCTGTGGTGCCTGGTGAGTCTGGGTCTGGCAGGCCCGTCCACAGAAGCCGACGCGCACACAGGCCATCACATGCCTGTCACACTCACAGGGACACGACGCTGAAGGACCCCCTGCTGCGGGGCCTTGGACAAGGGCCAGAGCACAGCCAGGCCCCCAGGCCCACGGCTCCGGAGGACCCACCCGCCCTGCCCTGTGCCGTCGGCATCAGGCACACGGCCACCTTCCAGAGCTGCCCTTCTCGTGCAGAAATCCAATCGCGTGACCCGAGCCCCGGGCTGCTGGCCATTTTCAAGATAAAATCACCGTGTCCAGATGGAGCCGGGCCCATGTGGCCACCAAAGCTCCCTCTGCATTCCCAGCTGCTTCCGAGAAACCAGCTTCAAGGGTGCACACCAGACCCACTACACAGCCCAGGTGCAGCGCCCTCCCGCCTCCGTCAGCGGCTGCTCCTGTGCCAATCCCACCGCAGGCCGAGGCTCAGAGCCGGCACCTACCCGTCCGCCCACAGCCTCCCCAGGAGGAACCACATGTTGTTGGGGAAAACCGTGCCCAGCAGGGGAGGGACCAGGGCCCCCAGGTCCTCATCTGTGAAACGCTGAGCTTTCCCGCCTTTTCTATGTTGTGAGTTTACCTGTCGGGTATGAAAAGCTCTCGGAAGCGCCCGGGTCTTAGGAAGGTGGGGGCCCTGGTTTCCCACCCGTAGGGCAGCATTTTGACTACATATTCTGAAGATTTAAAAAACCCGCATGCAAATATGACACCCCAGTCAGGAGGTTTGCTTCCCACAGAAATGAGGGCT